GCAGCTCCATCCCTGCAGCTCCCAGCTCAGCTCCCAGCTCAGCCATGCTGCTGCAGAGCACTCAGCAGTGCAAATTGTTTTTCCGCAGTGGTGCAGTATCCAGAAAGGTCCTTTGCAAGCCTCTAGGACTGCACCAAGCTGCTGAGGCATGGAAAGCTCTGGTGCTGCTGGCTGCACACCCTGGCATGCAGCAGCTTCAAAGAGCCTGCGTGGATTAATAGGAATTCTCTGTTCCCACTAATGAACTGGATTTCAGAGACAGATTATTCCTGAATGACGTTCCCTGCACCCCAGCTCGTTCTGCCCTGCCCAAAGTCAGTCTTTGATCCTGATGCAGCTTTTTTTTCCCTAGCTAATACTACCTGTTTTATCTGGCACTGTGCTGGAAAAAAAATGACATCATTTGGGGAGTGCTGCAGGGCTCCAGCCTGGGGGATTTACTCCCAGTCCCTGCTCTGCACTGACACTGCAGAGCAGAGCAGCCCTGGGCTGGGGTCACCTTTGGGGTTCATGTTCAGGGTTAACCTTTGGGGTTCAGAGGTCACCTTGGGGGTTCAGTGTTCAGGGGTCATCTTTGGGGTTCAGTGTTGTTTAACTCTTGTGCCTAATCAGGTTATCTGGAGGAAAGGAGCTGCTGTGGGAGATATTAAATGTGTCCTTCTTAGGGTTTTTCACTGGGGAACTTTGGATTTAGGGAAGTTTGTTTTGCTGGAGGCACGTGCTGGGCTTTGGCATGGTGGAAGCACAGGCTGAGGGAGGAAGGTGGGCTCACCTTGGAGCATTTGAGGGGGATCTCTCCTCAAACAGATCCCTCCCAGGGCTGTGAGGGATTAGAGGAGCAGAGCTCACTGCAGCAGCTTCTCCCCACATTTACAGCCCAGTCCTGTGACCAGCAGAGTGGGAGCAGCACCCTGCTCCTCCAGCCCAAGGCCAGGCAATCCAGGCACAGACCAGTTGCCATGTCCCTGGTGAGTGGGGCCATCAGGAGTGAGGCTCTGTGAGCACTCACACTGACCTGCTCTGCCCATTTTCCTGCATTAGCGTTAATTTTGTCCTTTCAGGCACCAGATTTGGTGTTTCTAGAAACACAAACAAAGCCTGAGAGATGCCCAGGGTTCTACCCTGCTGTTCTGTGCTGGTAACTGCTGCTTCCTTTCCCTGGCAGAGAACCTGGAGTACAACTCTGAGCCTCGGGAGATCCCTCACCCCGACATCGGCCGCTACTTCTCCGAGTTCACCGGCCTGCACTACCTGGCCAACACCGAGCTGGAGATCCGCTACCCCGAGGATCTGGAGCTCACCCGAGCCACGGTGCAGAAGATTTACAGCTCAGGCAAGGAGTGAGTGCCAAAGGCAGCCTGGGGACAGAAGCAGCTGGAGTGTAGCTTTACCCTCTCCGCAGAACTTGCGTGGGAAGCAAGTTTGGTGACAATCCTTTGGCTTAATGCATTGAAAACTGCACTGAACTTGGAAACTGGTGCTACAGCATCTTCCCGTTGTCTGCCTGGCCCAGGGGCACAGGGACACTTTGGGACTTGAGGCCCAGCAGGAGGATCTTGCAGGGACAGCTGTGCCAGGAGCGTTGTCCTTGGGAAGGATCTGCACATTCTGCTCCTTCTGTGGTGGCCTTAGGTCAGCACAGCGAGAACCTGGCGTGGAATATGGAGGAATCCCCTCTTCCAGAGAAGGAAGTGGCTTGTCCTGGCAGTATTTTTGTTTGGCTGTGTCTGTCTGGTTTGGTTTGAGTGTGTATCCCATGCAGGCAATAGTTTTTAAAGTCTCTCACGTTTCGCTGTTGTCTTCTCCGGTCTGAATTTCTGGGTCAGGTATTGCTTCACCTCTGTAGTCTGATTGTTCCTAGAGCCACTGTTCCAATCCTGAATATCCTCCTGGGCCTGGCAATACCCTCATGGGCCTGGGAAGGAGCTCCAGCCACAAAACCAGCAGCAGTGAGGCTGGTGAGCAGTGCTGACCCTGGGGCCAGGTGGCCACCTCGCCGACACCAGAGACTCCAACAGCAGAGGAGGAGCTCCTGGCCCTTTTCCATGCCTGCTGAACACACCCAGCCCGTGTCCTGACCTTGTTCTTCGCTCTGTCCATCCTGTGTGTCCAAGGTGGGATCTGTGGCACAGCCATGAGTGTTCCCACAGGAGCTGGAGCCTCTGGTGGGACCTTGAGTGACTTGGATGGACGCGGAGCTGCCGCTCGCTGCCAGCTCCATTTTTTTTTTTTCCAATAGGTATTTATGCAATACATGGAATGATGACTGGAACCTGGCCATCCCTGGAGTCAGCCAAAGCATTATGGAAGCAAGATGTTAATTGCTGCAGCTTGAGGCCTTCTACCTTCTTGCCAAAAGAAAACTGATTCTAGGGGGGCGCAGGCTTGGCTGCCTACAAGGGAAGAGCTTTAGCAGCTCGAGGCACATGACTTTCAACCTTGACTGAAAGGCCCAGACAGAACCACTGCAGAAGAGGTTTTCCTCTGGGCTCAGGGGCTGTGGGGTGCAGAGTGACACAGTGTTTGTGCATATCTTTGTGGTTTCTGAAGCAATGTGTGTAGAGTAGCTGCAGCTCGTGTCTCCTGTCACTGTCCACTTGCAACACAGTAATTCTTCTCTCTGAGCTGACAATTAGGGCCCTGTAGAGGTAGGTGGATGCTCTTTAGTCTCTTATGCACTACAGGTATCTCCATGTGGAATCACAGCCCTCCTCTCCAGCAATGCCTGCCCTGCATGTCACCTCCTGCAACCCTGAGCACTGGTTTGCTGTGGAAATAAATGCTGAGAGCCCAGCACTTTGGTGGTGGTGGTCTGCAGGGACCTGGGGCTCCAGGAGGAGCAGCCTGTGGGGAGAGAGTGAGGAATGCTGAGGGGGCTCTGCTGCAAGCAGAGCTCTAAGAGTCACAATCCATAATGGTTTGGGCTGGAAAGGACCTTAAAGCTCCTCTTGTTCCATGGGCAGGGACACCTTCACTGTCCCAGGAACCTGGAGGGGGGAAGAGTCCCCATGGTGAAACAGGGTAGGGAATCCTCAGGCAGAAAACCTGAAATTCATCTCTTGTTCTTGAGGGTTGGAGTAGACCCCAAACCTCCAACCCACTGTGAAAGCAGATCCCAAAAGATTCCTGTCAGGGATTCCATTGGGAATGGGGCTGGTGAATCCCAGCGTGGCTGAGAAGGGGCAGAGCAGGGCATGGGCTCCCCATTCCCATTCCCAGCAATGTCCTGGGGGTTTGTGCTCCCTCTGTTGCCACCTGGGCCTCTCTGCAGTGCTCCCAGGGAATTGCAGAGCTCACAGACAGTTTCCCTGGGAGCTGGCCAGTGCCTGCCAGCCCACCTGGGAGCTGCTGGCTGCTTCAGCCTCCCAGAGCTGCCAGCAGGGCCCTTTCTGTCCCTCTTTTGGGCCACTCTGTGCTCATACCCTGGCCCAGGAGGAAGTGTGGGAGCTGTTGCTCACCACAGACTGGGCTGCAGAAGGGTTGGGTACTCAGGGACAAACCCTGGAACTAAATCCTCATCCTCTGGCAGGAGTTTTTGGAGGAGCTGTGACCTCAGGCAGCCCTGCCTGCTCTGGGTGCTGCCCACATCCACACCTGGGCTGTGGCTGTTGGGTCACCCAGAGCACCAACACGGCCTGGGAGGTGCCAAATTTGCAAAGATTGGGCTGAAAATTTGGAAAGATTGATTCAATGTGTTTTCCACACAGCCAAGTCAAATTTGGGGATTTGACACAAACCCAAAGGGAGTGCTGAGTTCCCTTGGTCTCCCATTTGGTACTGGTGTACCCACTGCCTCCAGTGCTGCTTGCCCTGGGTGGAATCTGGTCCTGGGGAGGAGAAACTCCTCTGTGAGCTCCTGCTGCTGTGGGAGGCCCCAGCCCAGCATCCAGGGTGGGCAGGAGAGCTGGAAGCCACCAGGATACATCCAGGATGATCAGGAAAGCTGGAAACCCTCAGGATACATCCAGGGTGACCAGGGAGAGCTGGAAGCCTCCAGGATACATCCAGGGTGACCAGGAAAGCTGGAAACCTCCAGGATACATCCAGGGTGACCAGGGAGAGCTGGAAACCCTCAGGATACATCCAGGGTGACCAGGGAGAGCTGGAAACCTCCAGGATAGCTGTGTGTCCATGCTGGAACAGCCTTGGTTCCCACAGGCTGCACATCCAGGGCCCAGCACTGTGGGAACACCTCTGTGGGGTGCTGGGATGGCATTTG